AGAGCTAATGTCTAAGTTTACCAAAAATTTTGTGCTTGTTTAGGTCTAGCCATCATGAAGAGCTACATTGAATCCATGATCCGCGGCTTCAGAGGCGTCCTACGAAATTTCATTCACTCAAATGGTCTTTATTACAACAGAAGTCACTCTCAGCTCATATATGCTGTGAGAACGGTCCGATTCTTCTTGGGGTAAATATGTGGCCTAGATGAGCCTTAGGAGGCCTTCACTTCTGAATTAGAATATTATTTTGACATATGGGAAACATGGGAATTCGGTGGTAAACTATAAGCTCTTACTAATTTCACCATGGGCAGAACAACTTCCAGTACCAGCGCCGTCGATTAAATCCTATCTATGATTGCAATTTACTGTTTATTCTCCATTTTGCGGATGTTCAAGTTGAAGAAATTATAACACCGGATAGCAAAACATTTGTAGTGGATGCAAAACTCGATCATACTTTATGTCGATCTAACCCGTATGGCTGCTCAAGCTCATCATTCACCAGTTAAATTTATGTCTCAACCCTCTTGTATCTTCATCATTTAGATCATGGCTGAGGTATCAAAGACGCCAATCGTCAAAGCGTGCTGTCACGCAGCCAATCGCCTAGAAGAATTACATGAGCTGAGTGATGGTCTGGAGCGATGTCAAAAATCATTAAACGACTACCTGAACACTAAAAGGAATGCTTTTCCACGTTTCTTTTTCATATCTGACGATGAATTGCTGAGTATTTTGGGATCAAGTGAACCGGAATGCGTCCAAGAGCACATGATTAAGGTGAGGGCAAACCGTACACTGCTACTATATTCAATTCGATCTTATATAAATCCATGCAATCTATGCTGCACCCTTACGCTTCGCTTAATACGGCCAGCACCCATATCCCAGCATGGATAGAATATGAGTAATAGAGATGAGGCTGAAACTGAAAGGTTTCGCCTCAGTGTTCTGTAATGATTATCATCTCTTTGCTGAATTTGTATCGATTAATTTTAGCTTATATTTTATGTACATGTCTACAATCATGAGTTTCATAATGGTCCTATTTAAATTTTTGTGTATTCTCTCACATAAGTTGTCTTCTACTTAGTCACCACAAGTCGACCCTTTCACAATATTTCAAAACTCATAAAGAGCTTTCTTCTTTTTCATAATCTCCAGATGTTCGATAATATCGCTTCGCTACAATTAGTCAAGGCGATTAACCAAGAGATGAGTGCAACTGCGATGGTCTCAAGCGAAGGCGAGATAATGCAATTTCGGCAGTCTGTTTTGGCTACTGGGCGTGTGGAGGAATGGATGACGCGTGTTGAGGCCGAGATGAAGTCAACAAACCGGCTAATTACGAAGGAGGCCATCTACTACTACAGCTCTAAAGGGTCAAGGTGGGTCTGGCTTGAAAAGTTATCATTGGGCCAAGTTAGATGTTACCGTACATAAAGACGCTTCAAAACAATTATTTTACCGCAATAATGCCATAATTCTGATTATCTTAGTCTAATTTGGTTGTTGTCCATTTTTCCCAAAAAAAACAGAAATTAATTAGACTAAATGGGTTATTGAATTACGTAAACATGCATCAACAAAGGTAACTAGCCTTTCCATTCATCATGGAGACCTACTAGCTTCACATATATAGGATAAGCAGCAATTATTACACCATAATGACTTTCAGAAAATAGATCTTAGATCTCTTATTTTGTTTGAACCTATGCTACGAAAGTCATTTCAAGGAGCATAGTTATCTTTGGATATTTTCATGGTTATTTTTTTTTACTCAAAAACCGTAATTATTTTATTCATATATGTCGTTTTGGTCTATCAGCCACAGTTACCTATATTCTACTAGCTGCCTGCATACTAAAGCTAATCTCCTCTTTTTATCCTCCTCTTCACCAAATTAGACCATCAGCGAATTGAAATACACACCCTTTTGGTAGATATTCCCTGATTCAAATTGACACAACTACGCATTTTTCTGGTCATGATATATCTGATATATTCCACTATATTGAGTCCATTCACTTTCGTTATTTACTTCACTCCCATTCCTTAGCTTTATTCAGAGAATAATAGGGGACGAAATCAAATGAATTAAGTCATTCTGGCTCCCGAGGTGCGCAATTTAATTAGCCTAATTAGGCTTTGTTTTATGCTGATTATCAACCGTTCAGTATCGCTTCCTAGACTTTTATCTCAAGGCTTAAAAGGCAAATTATAAAAATATTGTTAATACGAAGATTAAATGAGTTTATATATATATATATATCCCTAGATAACATTGTCTCGTATGAAGAAGTGTGATAAAGAGACTTCTAGATCGATTTCCTCATAATATGGCAGCAGTTGTCTAATTTTTCTACGTCGTCAAGGTTAATTAGTCCACTAGGTTTTCTTCAATTCGAGTGTATGCGAGCTCCACTTTCGTCCGTAATCTGAATAATATAGTCATAAAGGTTGTTTGACCTTGTTTTCGCAACATGGTCATATTGGTAGGAAGACTTAGAGGAACACACCTAGTCCGGAGTCTATTGTCTGCATAATCATTTCAAAAGTTGAACCGTGGACGTGGTTTTTTTCGAAACGTTTTGCAGGTATCGTAGTCGGCATCGTTCGTAAGTATCGCCATCCTTAGCACCATACAACAACTCGTCAAAGAGACAAGTCAGCCGATCCTTTGACCAAACGTATGCTAAACAATTATGATATCTCCCCTTCTGCCCTGAGTTATTCGCGATACTCACTGACGATGCCGACTACGATGCCGGTGAAACGTTTGGGAAGGTACCATGTTCACGGTTCAACTTTGCAAATGATAATGCAGATAATGGACTCCGGACTAGTTGCGTTCCTCTAAGTCTTCCTACCAATATGACCATGTTGCGTAAACATGGTCAAACAACCTCTATACAACAAAAGGAGACTGCGACCACACAAAAGGCCACACTATCTTGGTCTTCATATCTTCGAATATAGTCATAACTTGAATTTATTCTTGCAAAAGCTTCTAGTCAATACTACGTCAATAAAACTAGCGGCCTCTACCTTAGATAATATATATACTCAAAATCTGTAAAAAAAATGGTTATATATGTTTAGATATAGGATAAATTGACTAGTTCCTTATCAAATTAGGCTAAGTACTCATGTGTCTAAATGAGTATTTATGTCTGTACGCGTTTAAGTCAGAGTACGAATTAGCAGTGAAAACTTTAGATAATTACGAGTAAGGCTAGTGCCAATCCTAGGTTTAATGGCCCTATGAGAAGCATGACTTAGATCGCGTAAACTCGAATGTACCTATGGTCATTGGTGAGCTGTAAGTCTGTACGCTTGTAAGTCAGCGTGCGATATCATTAGAGTTACTTACCGTTCCAGGTACATCAATATTTTATGAATAAAGGAAAAACACGACTGGTATTGCGTATCCTCTACATTTTGGTGAATTAGTGGGCATAACAGAAATTGAATAGGATTTTAGTCATATTAGCTTGCATATGGTAGTGAGGGTCTGATAGTTTAATTTCCCAAAAATGATATTAGTAAGCTTTAGGATATCAATAAGTCTCAATTAGCCTTGACCTTAATAAGTTATTCTTACCGAGGGTGGGCTACAATTTAGACCTAGCCTGGGTCTCTAACTCCGGTAGTTCAGCTTGCTTTGAATGGCAAACCTCATCTTTTGTCCTCTGTCACCAGTATTCTAGTAACATGTCGAAAATATTTGCTGCCCTATCTGATTTAGATTTCCATTGGGGTGATGATAGTGCCCTTTCGAAGTAGAATTTGCAGTCCGTCCCCGATGAATATGCCTTTTGAGGTACAAGGCGTATTGAAACTCATTGATGGTTTATATTGCATTTCAATTTACCGAAGACATAAATTTTAAATGTTATGAATGGTTGTGCTTAGGTTCAGAACACCTATTTTTCCTAATCTCGTTAAGATTTAAATTAATCTATGCAGTGTAAATTTTATAGAGTGTTGTATTTAGATATACAAGCTTGCTCATAACATTGTGGGAAAATTCAATTAGCTTTCCTTTGACCCTTTATGCGGCCTCAGAGGATTAATATTACTGCTGCTAATCTCAAGACTTCCTAATTATGAATATACTTAATATAAGTGTTGAATGAATTTTAATGAGCTCACCAGGGAGCGAGACTAAGCAAGATCCCATCGAAGATACTTGTATGTAAACATAAAATTTACTATTAGAAATTAAATAAATAGTACTCAGAGCGTAAGTAGCAATTCCAAATTTAAAGAACAAGTTAGATCATATTCTTTATTTTAATTCTTTTTAACTTATCCATGTAATTATGTAGTTATTAACTCTCCGTGTTAAAACGCTATTCTGTCGAGGAAGCACCTTCATTATGAAACGTTACGTCGTCATGTACGTTCTGGGTGGTGCTAACACTAGACTTACAGTGATTATGGTTGGTTGAGCTATATTGGGCTTAGTCCGTTTCTCAATAGGTTAAAACCTATCTCCGCTATCTTAGCAGTCAGTCTAGATTCATATGGAACAGGTCTATTTCATTACAGTTATATTTGTAATGTTGCTTGCCATAGGGTGTAGATATTTTATGATATGTTGAATGAATCTTAATGAATCTATCAAGCAATGCGATTCGGAGAGTAACTTGAGATTTGCATGCCTTGGTCTTCTTTCAATGATGAAATTTTGGGTAAAAGAGGTTCTTAGATTGTTTCGAAGGTTTGCTCTAAAGTTGTATTTGTACTTGGCTAGATTGCATTTCAATTTACCAAAGTCATATAAATTTTTAATGCTATGAATGGTTGTGCTTAGGTTCAGAAAACCTCTTCTTCCTAAACTCGTTAAAATTTAAATTAATCTATGCAGTGTAAATTTTATAGGGTATTGTATTTAGATAAACAAGCTATTTTTCGTTCTTAGTATCATATAATCAATATACCATCAGCTTCATTCATTCTGGGAGCATCCGAACCGTTAGTTTATGCTAGACTATCGACTCTTCCCTCTTAGATTTTCCCTAAATATTATGCTATTTTGCAGGATCTTCTACCACGTGAATTTTTATTAGTGCCTTACATTTCACTATGTATTTATCAGTTTAATTTTTTAATCTGCCGAGTTACGGACCTTCATAAGGTTTACGTTTAGTAATAAACTCGAGCTATCGCAATAAAGCTGAAATTGCTTTCATCTATTAGGCTTATTCCACAAATATTTAGCTCCATATTAAATATTTTTGAGCGAAATACGGTTTATTTAATAAAATGTTTATACACCTACTTTTCTAATCTTCATTATTTTAGAATTAAGCAAATGTTTTCGATTTTATACACTATTTAT